CCCCCCGGCCCTGCCCAACGGGACCCCGAGATCCCCGCGCCCCGCCCAACGGGACCCTCACAGCCCGTTCCCCGCAGGGCCCGCGCCTGCAGGTGCCGCCAGGATGAAGGTGGTGGAGGAGCCCAACGCGTTCGGGTGAGCGTCCTCGCGGGGCGGGCCGCGGCGGGGCGGCCTGGGCCCGGGCCCCCCTGACGCTCTGCTTACCGCAGGCTCAACAACCCGTTCCTGCCCCAGACCAGTCGCCTCCAGCCCAAGAGGGGTCCTTCCCCAGTGTCCGGTGAGTGACGTGGGGCGGCAGGGCTGCGGGAAGCGGGTCTGGGTTCCGGATCGGGTGCTGCCCAGAGGGGCCGCGGAGAGAAGGGCGGCCTTGGGCGCTCGACAGGCGCGCACGGGCCATCCGAGGGCAGAGCCCCCGAGCTAGGCAGTCGGCCCTGGACGTGGCCCTTTATTTTCTTCTCTACAAGGGACCCGCGAACAGCTCGGCGCCTGTCCCGCCGTGGTCTGTGCTTTGTGTGCCTTAGTATCCACGTTGAGACCGTGTAATGATGTTTCGGTGACTTTTCCTTCAATACGAAAAGTGCCGCTCCGCCGGTTTGCCCCTTTGCCGCCGGCGGTCGTCGTGTGCGCCGGCGGTTTGCGCGGTGGTGGACGTAGGGCTTCCTTCCCACCCGCTGCCGAGGACGCCCTTCGCCATCGAGCATTCGTTTAGCTCTTTGGCCACTAGAAACCGCGCTGTGGGCCATCCCTCCTGAGGACCGTCTACGCCACCGTAAGCGGTCTCCTAAGGCAGGGTCGTTAAACGGGTATAAATGTAAGAAACAAAAAAGAAACAATTTTTTAAAATTGAATGCTACGGTGTGTTAGGGTCTGAGCCGGGGGTGTAGAAGCGAACACACAGCGCCTGTCCTCATGGAGTCGACAGCCTGACGGGGCAGGGGGCGGGGTGTAGCCGATCAACAGGAAGCTGGAGAAAAGCTCGAGGGCGGAAAACGCTCTGTAGGCCCGCGAGGCCGAGGAGCATGTGGGGTGGCTCTGGGAGCTGGGGTTCCAAGTGGTGGTCAGGGACAGATAGAAGTGACATGTCGGTCAAACGCTGGGCGGGGAAAGGGAGTAAGGGGTGTGGCTATCTGAGGGCAGAGGGGTCCAGTGCAAGGAGTGGCCAGATAGAGGCCTTGAGCAAGGGTGCTGGGCCAGAGGGGCTGGCGGGGGTTAGGGTGAGATCCGAGAGGAGGGGCACACGGGGCTTCTGCTCTGCACAAATCTGCTCCAGCTCATTACAAAGAGCGCTGAGTAGAAAGGCGGAGAGGTGGGGCGTGAGCACCAGAGTACGTTCTGCCTCTGGAAAGCAGTTAACTTTGCCGTGGCGCTGCCGTCCTCTGGTTTCATTTTGAAAAAAGTGAACTTCCATTTTCCTGAACCATTTGAAAGTTGGTCACAGACATCATGACAGGCTATCCCTAAATATTCACTGGGGATCTTCCACCCCCGAATCGGCCTTAATTCTATGGTATGACCAGTCCCGGTCCACATTGTCCCAGGAATGCCTTCTTTAGCTGTCCCACCAGCCCCGGCCCTACCAGCAGCAGGCAAGGGTCACACGTGCATCTGGCTAGTTAGGAATAGATCTGTCCACCCACCTGGCTTGGTGTTGACTTTAGGAGGCTGTCTTACAGAAAGCCTGGCCGCCTGGATACATTGTTGACCTTGCTCTGCTTTCCCCAGTACATTCCATGAATAGGCAGGTAGCCCCAGAAGCCTGACTGTAGTCAGGTGAAGCAGTTTAGGCGCAGATGCTTCATAGGGAAGCAGTGGATTTCTGTAGTATCATGTTCGAGGGCTACACCTGACCACGGCTCAGTGCGGCAAGGGTCTCCCTGTGCCCCGTGCTGTCTGCTGTCCCAGCAGCCTCTCGCCTGGCCCGAGGGGCTGGGGAGGGCTGACTCCCTGCTCCCCTCACACCTTCTGCACTTAGCAGCATGATCTCTGGTAAAGGAGAGCCTTCCCCTTTCCTCCTTTTCTCTCTCTTCCTTTTGAATATCATTGTGGCTCAGATTTAAACTGCATTTTTATTGAGGTGTAAGGGACACGTTCAGTTTGATGGAGTTTGACAATTGAGCACATCCGTGTAATTGTCACTCAAAACAAGAAAGAACACCTCCATCACCCAGAAGGTTCCCTGGTGCAAGTCCTCCTTCCCATGACTTTCTGGTTTCCGTGACTGCAGGTATGTGTGCTTGGCCTTCAGCTGAAGAGGGTACCACAGCGTCCAGCCCATGTGGCATGTTGGGGGCCCCTCCGTGTTGCATATAGCTAGTTATTGCCAAGCCGTCTGTAGCCTAGTCAGTTGTATTGTGTCCTGATGCCCCATAAAGCACTGGGGGAGGCTGGCTGACGGCACACAGACCTGAGAGTTTTGTGACTTCTGGTAAGTCTGTAGTTACACATGCACATGTGTGCTTACAGTGAAGTAGATGGAGCCCACGTTTGTAAGTTCCCTACTGAAATGTCAAATTGCAGGGACTTTTCATGTATTTTCCACTCCTGTCTTTTTCTCTAACACTAAAAGCTGGGTTCCTTAAAAACATAAATACATTTACTGTTTTTTTCTGTAACTCACCTGCAATAGTCCCAGGGTCATCACAGCGTCACGCTTTCCATGAATGGCTGTGTGAGGCTTGCAGCCCATGTAGAGTCGGGCAGACATGGGTGTCCGAGCACTGGGTGCGCAGCAGCCAGGCCGTCCCGTCCTTGTCGGCCGTCAGATTCACAGTTTGGCCCATGTTTCTGCTTGTGCTCAGGTATCGTGCATGCTATACATATTTTCCCATGTGGTTTTTCCCTAACTGTGAAAAACATGCTTATTTTAAGCATGTTTAGGTGGACAGAAGGCCATGGGAGGCCCCAGGCATGCTCTGCCAGCCTCAGCCCCTCATCCTACCTTTTCCCGGCCACCCCCGCTCACTGGAAACCGACTGCTCCCAGCATACTCCATGTGTATATTTCCGTGTGTATCTCCCGAGGCACAGCCACAGTATCTCGTCGTACTGTTTAACAAGCAGTAACTCCTCCCAAGCCGCTGAAAGCGCGCCCCCACCCCCCCCCCACCCCCCGTGCCCCTAACGGCCTCGCACATCCTTAGCGGCCAGTTAGTCCTAGTCGGGATCTCAGGGCTGCATGCTGCGTGCTGCTGACATGAATCCTGTGTACTTTGTCTCTGAATCTGCTTCCTCGCAACATATGTAGTGAAGAAACTGGGTCCCTTGTGTCCCGCGTTCTGGATTTTGTCCATTGCATTCCTGTAGCACTTGACCTTGCGTCCTCAGTTAGCCAGAATAATACAGTTCTTTTTTTTCCCGCTCCGTGTGTCTTTGCCTTACTTTTCTTGCCTGTGGCACTAGCCTGGCCTTGTGTTCTGCTGGAGAGCAGCGGCGAGAGCAGGCTGCCCGTCCGCAGGGCCTCACAGGCCGTGTGCAGCCCTGTGCTTGGCCCTAGAGGAAGGCGCCCCATTCCTGGCTGCTGAGTTTTTACCATGCATGGATGTCGGATTCTGTTAAATGCTTTTCTGCACCTATTGAGATGATCATAGGGCTGTTAACATGGGTAGCACTGGTTTTTGAATGTTGAGCCAACCTCATATTCTTAGAATAAACCTTACTTGCCGTGATGAGTACGTACATTTTATATATTGCTGCATTTAAAGTGCAAATTGTTTCTGACCTTTTTTCCTTCATTTCTAGAATTTCTCTTGGTTCTTTTTTCTATTTGTGTGCTGAATTCTGTCTCTTGCTTCAGCATGTTCACTTTACACCCGCGAACAGAGTGTATAGCTGGCGCACCGTCCCTGGGTCCCGCTCCCATGATTGCCAGGGTCACACCGGCCTGCTTTGCTATGTATCTCTCGGTAACTTGGAAACATAGGTGGTATCAGTACCCCCAGTGACCATGCTGTGTATACATCCTCTGTATTTTGTTGGTCTGCTTTATGCCATGTGGTCTGATATCTTTACCCCTGTGCCAGTTTTCATTACTGTAGTTGTACAGCAAGTTTGAAGTCAGCAATGGTGAGTCCTTCAACTTTGTTTCAAGATAGTTTTGGCTTTGGGGACCCTTGAGAGTCGATTTTAATTTTAGGATGGGTTTTTTCTATTTCTGCCCCCAAAAGAAGTCACTGGAATCTCAATACAGGCGGCGTGGAACCAGCAGGCCACTTTGGGCAGTGCTGACATCTTGATATGGAACCCCCCTCTCCATGACGGTGGCGCATCTCCATTCCTTCGTGCCTTTGATCTCTGCCAGCGCCATCTGGCCATTTTCAGCGCATGAGTGTTTTGCCTCTGTGGTTACATCTATTCCCCAATTTTTTTCTTTTTGATGCTACTGTAAATTATTTTCTTAAATTTTAGTTGTTAGAAGAAAAAGGGCTGTTCATTGTTCATGTCTAGAAACAACTTGTTTCTGTCAGTTTCATATCCTGAGACTTTGCTGAACTTGCTTTTTAGCACCAGCAGGTTTTGGGGACTCTTCAGGGTTTTTGTGTCATCTGGAAACATGATGATGTGGTTTTGCCTCGTCCTTTCCGATCCAGATGCCTTTTCGTCTGCCTAGCGCTGCCCCGTGGCCCCGGCAGTGGGGCAGGAAGGACGGTCTTCTGCCCCAACCCCCAGCTCAGGGAGAGCCCGCAGTCTTTCCCCACGGCACGGCCTTCCTCGCGCTGATGGACTGTCCTTCTGTTTCTCGCCTGCACAGCTTCTGTCACGAAAGGGTCTTGCACGTCGTCAGGTGCCTTTGTGTTCAGCTGGGGTGGATCGCATGGTTTTTTCCTCCCTCTTTACTCTGAGAGTGAGGTGTGTTACAGTGATTGGTTTCTGTATTTTGAACCATCCTTGCATTCCAGGAGTGAATCTCACTCGGTCATGCTCTGGAACACTTTGAATGTGTTGACTTCAGTTTGCTAGTATTTTGTTGAAGATTTTTGCATTGATGTTTGTACGGAATATTGTCCTGTAAAATTTCTGTAAAACTGGTAGTGATGCCCTTCCTTCGGTTTTAGTATTGGAGCTTTTCTTCTTAGTCTAGTGAAAATGTGTTGATTCTGTTGATTTCTTTAAAGAACCTCCTTTGGTTTACTGATGTCTCTCTAATCTTTTCTTCCTTCTGCTTTGGACTTAGTTTGCTTTTCTTTTTCTAGTGCCTTAAAGTTTTCAAAGATTATTGACTTGAGGTCTTATTTTTGGATGTCTTTACAGTTTGTTATAAAGTTCCCTCTTGGCATTGCTTTCACTGTATCCCCCAAGTTTTTGTAACTTTTTTCATTTTTGTCTCATTTTCTAATTTGCTTTGTGATTTATTCAATCCAATGGCTATTTAAGATTGTGTTAATATCCATATTTATGAATTTCCCACTTTTGCTTCTGCTACTGATTTCTGGTTTCCTTTGTGGTAAGCACAATTTAGTCTTAAGTTTACGAAGAATTCGTTTGTGGCCTAACACATGGTCTTTCCTGCAGAATGTTGTGTGTGTGCTTGGGAAACACGCATGTCCTGCTGTTGGGTGGGGTGTTCTGTACACAGCTGGTAGGTCCCGTTGGCCTGTGGTGTCCGTGCGAGCCCTCCATTTCCTTAGCAGGGGGCTCCCGGGACCTCCACGTATTGTAGGACTGTTTCTCCCTTCTTTGTCAGTATTTGCTTCATCTGTATTCACAGTCCCATGTTTGGTGTCCATGTTTATAATTATCAATCCAAAGATGCATTGACCCATATAATGTCTGTCTCATAATCAGCATAGCTGCCCCATGTGTAGCTGTTACTTGCATGGAATATCTTCTCCATCCTTTCACTTTCAATCTGCTTGTCTTTGGAGCTCAAGTGAGTCTCTGATAGGCAGCACAATTGGATCACATTTTTTTTTTAACCCACTTGGCCCATCTCTGCCTTTTGGGTGGAGAGTTTAATCCATTTACATTTAGAGTAATGATCTGTGAGGAACTACTTGCAGGAAATGAAATGGCGAGTGTGTCTGGTCACTGTCTGTCTCCTTCCCCCACTATTTCTTGCTGATTTTCTAGGTGACATGTTTTGATTTCCTTCTCATTTCTCTTTCTACCTGGTAGAAAGTAACAAATTCTACCATGGGGCTCACACAGCATCCTAGAGGTATTGAAAGTCTACTTTGAATTTGTACCAACTTAATGTCAGTCACATACGTACAGTCTGTATTTGTTACTGCCTTCTACACCCCTCCAAATATTGTGTACCCACCAACATCAACTTACATTTTTTCATACATCTGGTTTTTAAATTCTGTACGTTACAAATCAGAGTCCCAACACTGACTTTTTGACTTGCCTGTGTTAATACCTTTCCTGGAGACCTTTATAACCCTCATGCACCTCATGGGACCCCCTTGGGCATTCTTGCAGGGCAGGACGATTGATGGAGCTCCCTCAGCTTCAGTTCACGTGGGAGCATCCTGATTTCATCCTCATTTTAGGAGGTAGTTTTCCTGGGTATGGGATCCTTGGTTGACAGGGGCATTTTTCTTTCATTCCACCGCTTTCTGGCCTCCTGCATTTCTGCACTGAAACTGGATGACGACCTCAAGGCACTCTTGCCATCGAGGAGGCATTTCGTGCTTGGTCTCTGGTGTTCCTCTCCTTTGTCTCGGTGTGGGTCTCTTTCCATGCATCACAGTCGGAGTCCAGTGAGCTTCTTGGGTCTGTTTTATCGAGTTGGGGAGGTTTGGACAGTCCTTCCCACTGACCAGCCCCCTGCCCCCACTGCCCCACTCCCAGGACTCCCAGGTGCCGGGCAGGCTGTGCCCGGTGTTCCCTCCTGCTCCATCTGTCGGACCCTTCCTGCGGCTGTTTCACCTCAGTTGTTTTTCAGCTCTGGGATCTCTCTCTGGTTCGTTTCTATAATTTTTCTCTTTCCCATCTTTCAGTTTCCTGGTACCCTTTAGTGCCTGGAGCACATGTAAGTAGCTGGTTAAAAGCCTGTTTAAGTGCAGTGTCTGGGCTTCTCCTGGCATGGTGGTGTGGGGTTTTTCTCTGGAAACAGACACCTCCTCCCGTCTTTGCAGATGAAGCCTCCACCAGTGAGCCAGGCATACTCAGCCGAGGGAGCAGGCTGGTCCTTCCCTGGAAGCTGGGTACCAGGCTGCTCCGGATGCCACTTCCCAGGCCTCAGGGCTGCAGGGTCTGCCATGTGCCCACCCATCACCTCTTGCGAGTCTCTAGCCCCCTGCCGCTTTTGTGATCTGAGTCAGGCAGCCCCCAGCCGGGCTGGGACGCCAGGCCTCAGAGCCAAGGCAGGGGCCACAGTCTACGTTGCTGCGCCTGCTCTTTGCACGGGACTCAGCTGTGGCGCTCTTCTCCTCCAGGGCCCGCCCACCTCTCCATACTTTCTGGAAAGTGCTTCAGCCTGGTGGAGTCCATGTGAGTGAGGGGCGGGTCCGGGCGGCGGGCAGGGACCGGGACCCCTGTGATGGCGGCTGTGCCCCCAGGTACAAGTACGAGCTGTGTCCCTTCCACAACGTGACGCAGCACGAGCAGACCTTCCGCTGGAACGCCTACAGCGGGATCCTTGGGTGAGTCAGGCAGGTGGGCTGCTGCGTCCCCAGGCAGCCCCCATCCCCAGCCTCATGCTGTGCTGCTGCTCCCCAGCATCTGGCACGAGTGGGAAATCACCAACGGCACCTTCACGGGCATGTGGATGAGAGACGGCGACTCCTGCCGCTCCCAGAGCCGGCAGAGCAAGGTGGGGCTGCATGAAAGGAGCCTGGGGGGGAGGGGCTGGCTCCCCCCCACCCCCCACCCACCAAGGGTCTCCCCAGGTGGAACTCACCTGTGGAAAAAGCAACCGACTGGCCCACGTGTCTGAGCCAAGCACCTGTGTCTACGCGCTGACGTTTGAGACGCCCCTTGTCTGTCACCCCCATGCCTTGTTAGGTAGGGGCAGGGCAGGGGGACGGGGGTTGGGGGCAGAAGGGCTCAGCTGAGTCTGCTTTCTGCCGGGTTCCTAGTGTACCCAGCCCTGCCCGCAGCCCTGCAGCAGAGGTGGGACCGGGTGGAACAGGACCTGGCCGATGAGCTGATCACTTCCCAGGTGAGGTGCTGGGGCGGGCACCCCCTTGGCCTGGCAGTGCAGCCGGGAGCTGGGTGTCCCTCTCCCCGACCTTCAGGGCTATGCCAAGTTGCTCAGGGCGCTTCTTGAAGATGCTGGCTACCTGAAGAGTTCAGAAGAGAGCGAATCTGCACAGCAGGAAGCAGGCACTGCAGGCCTGGTGTTTGAGAACCTGGAGGACTGCAGCAGGGTACGGAGTGGGGGTGCTGGTGGTGCCCCCATACCACCTGGCACCACTGGGCGGCCAGCCCCACCTGTGGGTCTGTCCTGTTCTAGGCACACAAATCACTGTTAGAAGAGGTCAGGAGGCTGAGGAACGTGCTGACCCAGCATGGCATTCCGCACACAAAGCCTGCAGGTGAGTCCTGCCTGGGTGAAGGGGCCAAGTGTGCCCTGGCCTGTGGACCAAGCCCTGTCCTGACCTCTGCCATCTGGTCTTTTAGTAGAAACTTCCACCTCTGAGCATTTGGGCACCAAGGCCCCCACAGACAGGACAGCAGAGCAGCTGCGAGGTGACCCAGGACTGCAAGGACCCCTCCTGTGAGCGGGGGTAGGCTGGAGAGCAGAGCAGGCTGCTGGCTGGGGCCGCGGCAGGGCAAGAAGGCCAGGTGGACACACCGCGGGCAGAGGCCACACTGCCCACGTGCCTACCAGCCAGCCCGACTCAAACTGGTGCTCAAAGACACAGACAAAATAAAGATTCAGAGTTTTAATTAATTCCCATATGGATAAAAATAATTCCATGAATTCTGTAAACTGTTGCATAAATGCTATAGTGTAAAAAGATTTAAACAAGTGTTAACTTTAAACAATTCACTACAAATAAATGATTATGCATTATAAATACTACTACCTCTGGGTTAAGAATATTCCATTCCAGTAATATCTCATCTGAACACTCAGCACACACAGATTTGGACTTCCATAAATCGATCTACATGAAGCTGAGATCTGCTGACCCCAGGCCCACAAGTGCAGTGATGGTACAGTGCTGGCAATGATACTGACACAAGGGGCTGGGGGGCAAGAGGCAGCGAGAACACCACCTCACCCAGCAAGTACCTGCAGCTCCAGCTGCCACCCCCGGCCTCCCGACTGGCACCCACGACTGGACGTGAGGCCTGAGAGGCCAAGCCTGCCCCCAGCTCAGCCACCTGGGCCTGCAGGGCCGGCTCCCTCGGGAGACCAGGGCCGCCGTTGAGAAGCAGGGAGACGAGGCCCCCCAAGCAGCTCGGCACTCCAGGAGGACCACTGGGTGCTGCTGTGGTCTTCCCACCATGCCTGTCCTAGGAGTGCAAGCCCGGGGATGTGTGCCTGCAGACTCCCAGCCAGCACACGACTCACAGAGTAGCTTATAAATAGACCTAAAGCTTAATTGTTCGTAATTGTAATTTGAAAATGTCTAGGCATCAATAATAAACATTGTCCTGATTCCCAAAAAGACCAAAGGCCTGAAATGGGAAACAAGTACATAAATATTAATAAAAATAATTTTAAACAGTGATAACAGTAGCACAAAATATACGTAATTTCTAAGAGCTAATAAATCACTATCATTAAAAACAGTCACTAAAACCGTCAATAGTTACCTTTAGTAGCGGACTAGCAGAATGTCATAGATCCACCTTTACAATGACACAACTTTTCTATCAGTTTGTCTTACATTAAAAAATGTTTTGAACCTCTTCCTATAGTAAATATTTGGTCACTGATAAAAATTCTTACCTAGTCACTTCGCACTTTTAAAAACGCTATTAGAAGTCTTTGGCAGAGCCACAGGCGGTAGGGACGGGTCAGGGGTCACTTCCCGCCCCCAGCGGCCCTGGAGAGATTTCCTCACTGCAACCTGGGCTGCTCTGCAGTGAGTTGCTGGGTAAACTATGGGCACCTTCTGCTTCCCGGATTGCCTGCCGGGAAAAACGACCCAACAAGACCGGAGAAGATTCACGGCCTGGCTAGAATCAGACCCGTTTTCAGCATTTCTGCGGCGGCCTTGACGCCAGGCTGGCCCTGAGGGGCCTGCGGCGAACACGGCCCAGCCCCGCACGCGGCCAGGCGCGCTCAGCCTCGCGGCCACATGAAAGCTGCCGACAGCCACGTGCACAGGCCGCGCGCAGCGTGCGCTGCGAGGGCGCCACCGCCCGGCCCGCCTCGCCCACGGGCGGGGTCCCGCCGGCCCGCCCAGAAGGGGGAGGGCACCACTGCCCGGCAGCCACGGCCAGGGCACGGCTGAGGGAGCGTCCGCCGCCGCCGGACCCTGTCTGCTCACCTTCCACCAGCGAATTGTCTCAAGAGTTCGAAGGGGGAAGAGCGAGCCGAACGCCCCGCTTCCGTGGCTCCTCCGCAGGCGCAGGCGCTTAGAGAAGCGGGCGGGCCCAACGGCGAGCTCCGCCCCGCTCGCCCCGCCCCGCCCCGCTCGCCCCGCCCCGCGGCGGCGGACAGGCCGGTGGACGCGCGCCGCGTGCTTGGGAAGCGTTCTTCCCACAAAGTTAAAAGCATTTAAACGGACGTATCTTTCAAGAATCACTCCCTGCTATAAATACTATTTGCACTTAATTTGAAAACTATAAAAATCCTAGGTCTCTCTCACTAACTAGATAAATGCTCATTTCAGAAGTAACATTTCAGGATATGCAACCTAATGTAATTACCATACTATGAGTTAACAAACTGATAGGTAATATTTTAAGTTCACAGTACACATATAAAGCTTCATATTATCGCATATTAAAAAAAACATGAACCTAGAAAGCAGCTTATAGCAACTTAAGACGCCCATTTAAGTTCCTCGGTTTACAAAGTGCTTTGCTGGACCCAAATTCCCAGGATCTGTCCAAGTAGTGCCAGGATGCGCAGCCCCCGCGTGCTCCCACGCCCGCCCGCCCAGACCGCTGTAAGCGGAGCCAGTGGGGCGGGGCAGGGTCCCGCCGGGTCTACCGGAGGAACCCCGAGCAGCCACGGCAGGACACGCAGGCCTCCGGTCCCAGCAGCTGCCCAGGGCCAGGGCCCCGAGGTCGGCGGCACCAGGAGCTGAGCGGCGATGTCACCGCGTCTGTGGAACACGGGCAAGGCGCCATCACCACGGGATGGGCTGGCCATCGCAGTAGGGGCATCCGGGCGCACTGGCCGCGCATGGCTCACAGAGGGCGCGGTGCTGGCAGGGCCGCAGGACGGCGCCGTGGGCCCGCTCCCGGCACACCTCGCACTGCTTCGAGCGCATCTGGAAGATCACCTGCAGGCGAGACGTGACTGGTATGTCTGGTGCCTCCCTACACCCCACGGCCGGCAGGCTGCCAGCAAAACAAAGCCGAGGGCCTGCCCAGCTCACAGGCGGCCATGCGCAGACTCCACGAGAAATCTGGGGTGACTGCCGCCACTGCAGGCAGCAGGGTCGGGGCTACGGCAGACCCCAGAGTCAGCGGCCACCCAGGGAAAAAGATGGGGGTGCGAGATGCTTCACCCCACAAACCTGGAGGCTGGGCTCCAGAGGCTGAGCCAACGCACCCACACGGGGAGGGGCAGCCAGGGGCAGGGCAAGGCGTGGACGGGGCCCCACCTGTGCAGGCCACAGGGGGCTTGCGGGGGGGCGGGGGTTGAGCTTGCTGGGACCTTCCCCGGGACCTGGCCCTCTGTCCAGAAGGGCAGTCAGAGCCTGGGGCAGTGCCTTGGAGACAAAGCCGGCAGAGGGGTGTGAGACGTAGGGCCGTGGAACCTTCTAGATGCTCCCAGTTCTCACACACCCAGGGGTGGAAGGAGCTGAGGCTGAGCTCGGGCGGCAGGTTCCATGCTCCACCAGCAAAGGTGGAAAATGAGAGCAGGCAACGGACCACCAGTGGCCCTGGAGGGTGACCGCTGAGAGGTGCCCGCACGGAGGCCACGGCTCCAACTACAGGCCGCGGGAGGGGCGTCCACCGGCCATGGAGGGCACAGCCCACAGGAGCAGGAGGCAGGGGAGAGGCGCACACTCCCAGGACGGGGCCCCGAGCGCCACGCCGTGGGAAGGCTGGCAGCGCTGAGCTGGGGGTGGGGGGTCCCCGGGAAGCCCGGTTCCTGGAAAATGCACTCACCCCATCGACCGCTTCCAAGTCCAGGCGCAGCTGGCTCCGCAGGGAGCGCAGCTTGGGCAGAGGCACCGCGCCCAGGTCCCCGCAGCGCCGCAGCCCAGGCAGCACCGCGGCCGCTCCCCGGCCCTCCAGCTCCTCCTGCAGCCGCCTGAACTGCGCCTCCACCTCCTCCTTCTTCTGCAGGGCCAGCTGCCGGGCACTGTCGGCCGCCAGCGCGCGCTCCTTGGCCTCCTTGGCCTCCCGCTGCCACGCGTCACAGGCCTGGAACCCGGGGGGCCGCGGCGGTGAGGCAGCGGGGCACCCGCGGCCCGGCCCCGCCCCCCGCGGCCCGGCCCCGCCCCCGCGGCCCGGCCCCGCCCCCCGCGGCCCGGCCCCGCCCCCCGCGGCCCGGCCCCGCCCCGCCCCGCGCTCACCTGCTTCACCTGCTGCCAGGACTCCTCCCACTGCCTGATCTTCCTCCGGGCCTCGTCCAGCTGCCGCCGGACCCGAGCCAGCTCGGCGCCGTTGGGGCTTGTGCTTGAAGAGGACGGGGGGCCGGCGCTCAGGATGGGGGTCGGGCTGGGCGAGAAGCTGCCAGAAACAAAGTCCCAGATGCTCCCGGGGACGCCGTTCAAGCCTGAGTGTGCAGGGGACGGGTGTCAGCCAGCCCCAGGCAGGCTGCGGGACCGCGGGGCCTCTACGGGCGCCGCCGGCTTCCCACCAGGCCGCTTCCGGCCATTCGCCATGTTTAGAGGGCAGGACGTTATTTTCAGCGGTTCTCAAACTCTGGTCCCAGGAACCCATCACACACTAGAATTTCAGGGACCCTGGAGAGCTTTTGTTCACTTGGGTGACAACCATCGATTTAACAAACTAGGTGAAAGGACTTTCCAGTGAGAAATAACCCAAGGCGGCCCTGCCTCCTGTTTCTGCAAATGTGTCTCACTGAGACTGAAAGAGGCTCACGCACAAACCCGGGCCGCCGTCAGCAGACCAGCCAGCAGACGCGGACACGTGGCTGCCTGGGACATGAGTCAATGCCAGCACCGGGAAGGCACAGGGCACGGGAGCCTCCGACGCATCAGTGCCACCGCACCACGCCTCCGTCCCCCCAGCTGTGAGGGGCACTCGCAGGCGGGCCCCGGCTCACCTAAGGCGTTGTAGGATGAGGCCGAGGGGCCCAGCGCGTCGGGCTCCGACTTGAGGGCCGGTGGCTGCTGGGGGGGCGTCATGGCCGAGGAGACGAACGGCCCCGACGGGGGCTGGGAGAGCGAGCAGAGCGGGGAGGTGGGCAGCGAGGGCGAGGAGGGCAGGGACGGGGGGCGGGGTGGGCCGCCTGGGATGGCCACAGGAGCTGAGCCGCCCAGCGACCGCTGACCTGCGCGGGGCCGAGAGGGGCCGGTGAGCCAGGCGGCAACAGGGCCAGGCGCAGCTCAAGACGCCCGAGCTCAGGGGCTGCGGGGTGGGGGCAGCCAAGGAGAGGGTGGGGACCCGGGGACCCGGCCGGCAGCCGCCACGCAGAGGTGCGGTGCCAGAGCCAAGCTCCCTGACCCCGGATGGGGCCTCCCCTCCTAATCAGGCACGCGCTTCACTCACAGGGCAAGGGGTGCAAGATACCCGCTAGGCCCTTCCCAGCCAGTCCGTCCCTGGCATGGTGGTTCCAGTACTTTTAGGCGCCCCCAAATCATTTACCCTCTTCTATCAGAAGAGAAAGACACATCTTCAAGTAGAAGGTGACCAGGCAGTAATGTTACCACACTCATCTTTACACCAACACAGTGGTTAAAACACCCGGGAAGGGCCAGA